CCCCACCCTCTCCGTATCTCCTCTTTTCCTTTCCTCTCCCCTCCTCCTCTCTTCCCCTTTCTCCCTATCTGCTTATCCGCCTTCTTTCGACCTTCTCTCCCTTTGTCCCCCCACCCCCTAAGTGCTTATTGCCCCATCTTTCGACCTTTCCCTCTCCCCTCCCTCTCCACCCCCCTATCCTCTACTCTCCTCTTCTTCACTCTCGCCCATCCCCCCCCTCCTCACACCCAAACTATTTTGTATTTCCATATCTCCCATACTGTCTGCCTCTCCTGCGTCCCAGTTGGAAACAGTCTGAAAAAATTGTGTCACGATGCAGTGGAATCAGGCGCTCGTCAGTTTTTGGACATAATATGGAGTTATTGATACAATCTTAAAACATGTAAACCTGTTACTTCTCCCTGCTTTGGATTAACCCCCCCCCCCCCCACTCATCCAGACTATCTTGAATAGAAGAGGGAATATAATTTGTAATTGTATGGGGTGGGGGTCGCCAAGTGCCAAGCGAGAAAATGGCTGCCAAAGTTTGCTGAATTCTAGAGCTTAGGTGTCTTTGGAAACTGCACACTTACATTTTCTGTGCCTTTAATCAACGTTTTTTTCCAGTAAAAATCCATCCAGGAATATGTTTTTAAATGGTCATAAATCGTGTGTGGCTCAAAATGTTAAAAAAATCGACACAAATTTCTCAAATGGAAGGAAAAATGCGAGCACCAACAATTTGACAAAAATTTTCTGACAGAGAGAATATTATTCTGTTAACTCGATTTCACTATTTTGACGGGCGCCTGATTTCACTACGATGCCCTAAAAATAAAGATGCCATCTTGCCTTATTTCAGACAGTCTGACATGTTCCATTGGGTAGCACTCAAGTATCCGTCTGCAAAATCTTTCCTCGTTATTTTTTTGCCCCTCCAGTCTTTCAGTTCTTTCCTTCTTTCACTCCAGTTTTGAGATTTCCATCTTTCTCTCGCTAGAGTTTCGTGTATCCTTGTTTTGTGTGTTTCCTCTTTTTCTCTCACTCTAGCAGTTTCGTGTTTCCCATCTTTCTCTCATGTCTCTACTCTGATTTATTTGTTTTTATCTTTCCTTTCCTTTCCTTCCCTCACTCCAATTTTATGTTTCATTTTTATTTTTCCTTTCCGTCTTTTTTAAAGTTTTGGTGTTTTCTTTGCTATATTTCAATTCCTTCTCTCACTCAAGTTTCATGTTTCCCATCCTTCTCTCAGTTCTGTTTTGTGATTTATTTGTTTTGATCTTTCCTTTCTTTCTCTCACTCAAGTTTCGTTTTTCTCATCATCTTCTCACCCGTTTCGTGTTTCTGTTTTTGCTCTTTCTTTCCTTCTCTTACTCCCATCTGATGACGTGAGTAGTCTAGTGATTAGTGTATCGGAGAATGAGAGTTCGAGCCCCAGCTCTGTCCGACGTTGTGTTTCTGGCCAGGAAAGGAAGCACTCTACACTTTACACGAATTTTCCAATTTGTCTCGGTCCTATGGACGTTAAATTCGGAGGTCCTGCCTCTTAAATAACCTTACAGCGCTGTAATTGGTGTTAAACCTATACTATTTCGCACATTTTACGCCAAGTTTGTGTTTCTTTTCCATTCATCGCTCTTGTGTTTTTCTTCGTTTTTGGATTTGGGGAAAGGCGTTTTTTTTGGGGGGGGGAGGGATGATGGACTGAGGGATGAAGAGAGGGGTCGAGGGTTTCTCTCTTTTATTGCTCCTTTTCTAAAATATAGGCGTTTGTTCGTTTCCATAGACACAGTTCAGATCATTTAGGAAGCGGGCTTCCACCCTGCCAATCAAAACCAACCAGGGCTGGGAGGAATGCAACACCCCAGTTCTTCCACTTTGGGCGTGAACATCATATCATGATGATGATAATGACAACGACGATGGCGATGATCATGATGATGATGTTTATTCAGCCATCATCTTAAGCAGCTCGGTTGTTCCACATTGGACATGAACATTGTGTTTGTATTCTCTCCCTCCAGCGAGCCGGGGACAAAATGGCGAGTTGGCAAGCGGAGGAGGAGGCGGAATACACCAGTGTTAGCACAGCTCTTCTACTGTCTGTCTCCTGGGGAGGGGGGGGGTGTCTCTGTCTATAACTCTCTTTGCCCCCCCCCTCTCTCTGTCTGTCTGTCTGTCTGTTTGTATGTGTCTCTCTCTAGCTCTCTATGTCTCAGTCTTTCTTTATCT